ATGATCCAACTATTAAGATAATTTTTTAGACGAAAAATGTCTAGCTCTTTGAGAATGTTGAGTTCATGGGGGGAGAAAGAGTCTGTGACCTTGTTTTTTAAAGAGGAATGGGTGAATATTCATATTCCCTCAAGTTTTCTTGACAATTATCAGGATCAGGTTCTTATACCTAACAATGTCATAGTATCTCTCATTCATGTTCAGGGAACTGATCCTGAAGCACAAACTTCACACTCTTAAGAACTTATACTATTAAAAAGATCCACAAGAGAGAGGAAAAATATAATACCAGATGATTATATTGTATATCTCCTTAAACATGAGTTTGACATTAGTACAGTAAAAGATGATCATATCAACTTTCATCAAGCCATAAAAAGTTCTAACTCTCGCAGGTGGATTGATGTCATAAATGAAGGGATAAAATTCATGAAAGACAATGACGTTTGGTATCTTGTCTCATTACCTACGAATGCGAAACCTATTAGTTGTAAATGGATATTTAAGACTAAGAGGGATTCGAAAGGTAATGTATAGAGGTACAAGGTCCGTCTTGTCGTTAAGGGCTTTACACATAAAGAAGGCATCGATTATAAAGAGACTTTTTCTTTAGTTTCGTCGAAAGACTCTTTCAGGACTATAATGGTTTTAACAGCACATTTTGGTCTTGAGTTATATCAAATGGATGTTAAAACAGTGTTTCTCAATTGTGACATTGATGAGATGATTTATATGGTGCAACCAGAAAACTTTGTATCTGGAAATGTGCAGCAAATGGTTTGTAAACTAAAAAAATTCATCTATGAACTTAAACAGGCTTCCCACCAAGGTATCACAAGTTTCATTAAGTTGTTATCTTGTTGGTTTTGAGATAAATTTAGTGGAAGATTGTATATACCATAAGTTTAATGAGAGTATATATATTTTTCTGGTTTTATATGTCGATGACATACTGCTTGCTAGCAGTGATATAGTATTATTGCACAAAACTAAGAGATTTCTGACAATAAAATTTGAGACGAAAGATCTTGGGGACGCCTCTTTTATATTAGGGATCTAGATATACCATGATCGCTCTCGGGTATTCTTGGATTATCACAGAAGAGTTATATCAAAAAGGTTCTTAAAAGGTTTGGCATGCAGGATTGTAAAGCAAGAGACACCCATATGTCTAAAAGAGACAAGTTTACTCGAAGTTAATGCTCTAAGAATGATTTAGAGATTATAGAGATGCAAAAGATTGTTTATACTTCTGCTGTAGAGAGTCTTATATATGCACAGGTTTGTATGTGTCCAAATATTGCATGTATTGTTGGGATGTTAGGTAGATATTTAAGCAATGCAGATATGGATCATTGGAAAATAGCCAAACGCGTCATGCGGTATCTTCAGAGAATAAAAAGTTATATGCTCACATATAGGAGGTCAGATTAGTTGGAGATCGTTGGTTATTCTGATTTTGATTTCACCGAATGTCAAGACAGTAAAAAATCTACATCAGGCTATATTTACTTGCTTGCTGGGGGAGTTATTTCGTGGAAGAGTGCTAAACAAACACTTATAGCCTCTTCTACTATGGCAGCAGAGTTTGCAGCTTGTTATGAGACATCCAATCATGGAATATTGCTGCAAAATTTTATTATTGGGCTGCGTATTATTGATGGCATAGAACGACCATTAAAGTTATTTTGTGATAATAAATCTGTAGTTATGTATTTCAACAACAACAGGAGTTCGACGAAATTAAAGCATATAGATATTAAGTTCCTTATTGTTAAAGAAAGAGTTTAGAGTAAGAAGGTATTGATAGAGTACATTGGAACAAACTCCATGATTGGGGATCCGCTCACAAAGGGAATACCACCTAAAGTCTTTCATGAGCACATTGCTCATATGAGTGTTGTATCCCTAAATGATGTGTAGTTTCAGTGGGAGTCTTGTACTATAATTGTATTTATTTTGTAAAACATGTCATAAATTATGTACTTTGGATTAGTTTATGACTATATGGTTTCATTTAAGTTTTTGCTTTTTGCATTTATGTTTATATATATTATTATCTCTGAATTTTTTTACAATTGATCTCACTAAGGTTAAGGCAGAACTTGTTGGAAATAGACATGTTTAGATCACATAGCGAGTAATTTCTATGCTGCACATTCATGCTTGATCCATGTCGTTCGGTTATATTGATATATGTGACCATTGATGGGTTTAGATATGTTAATCATAGCGAAGGCCGTTTTGATCCTATGTCTTTATGATTGATGGACGGGATTGTTTGGTGATGCATTCAGGTATTGATAGCACAGTTCTGAGTACTCCAACGGTTATTAGCGCATAGTTAAGGTGTCACATAAAGCTCAAGTAGGAGATTGTTAGATTTTTTTAACATATGAGTTTAATATGGACTTTAGTATACGTATCGGGCTGTCAATTTAATGGGCTCGTTTAAAAGTGATTAAATATAATTAAATAATATTGGGGCTTAATGCATCAGGTTTAAATATGAACTTGTAATGTGCATATACCATTTTTGTAGTGTTCTCATTTTATAATGGGTGAAATAAAAATTGCAAAAATTAATCGATATAAAAAGCAATTATGGTCCCCGAATTAAAAGGTTATCATTTTATTTTTCTGAAATCTTGTCACTAGAAAAAACTAGTTTCAAGGCGTCGTATTGATTCAGAAGATCCTACCACCAGACGTGATCTTCTACAATGAATTCAAGTACACTTTTGATTATATTTTTCTTTAATTCCGTATGAGGATGTATATTTAATTTTTTACAGATTTACGGATTTGAAAAGAAATATTGTTCTAACAAGTTCTTCTTAAACTTCAACGCTACTGACAAGTCTCAATAGCTACAATAAATGGTCAAAAAATACTTTCAAAATTCTATGGGCCCTATAAGATTGAGAAAAAAAATCAGTGCAGTAGCCTAGAGATTGCAATTTCATCTAAAAGCCAAAATACATCTTATTTTCTGTGTCCTTACTCAAGAAATATTACCCGAGAGACCTGCATGATACAACTAACTTAGCAAAATTTATAGAAACTAAGATAATAAAACCAGAGGAGATCTTCCAAATAATAAGGATAATAAGATAAGGACAAGAGGAAAGACAGTGGTTAATCAAATGGCAAGGAACTGACGAAGAAACTTGGAAGAACGCAACATATATATCCCAATAGTTTCCTCACCTAAACCTTGAGGGAAAGATTAATTCTCAAGGGGAGGGAATTGTTGAGAACCATATGAAGTAATGAGCCAAGATACAAAGGATTAAAAAATATGGAGCAGAAAGATAAAAATGGATATAACTTCACAAAATCACCTCTTGAAAGGTATGTGGCAACATTTGAAGCAAATCGAAAAATTGAAGCGTCGGACCATTCTGACCATTGCCTTTGATGCATGAACCAAGCCAACTCTCCTTACTGAACCGCAATTGATTTAGTTTTTTGATTTGCTTCAGATGGTGCCACATAGCTTTTAGGAGGGAATTCTGTGAAGCTAGGTGCATTTTTCTCTTTCTACTCCCTATTTTTTAATCTTTTGTATCTTGGTTCATTCTGTGGTGTTTGCATCTAGTTCTCAATACTTTGTTACCTAGAAAGAGGTGAAATTGATCATCCAACACTTATTGTCATGGGAATTAATGCTTATACGAATGCTCAAGTTATAGGTTTAATAGTTAGTAATTTAATATTTTTAATTTGAATAACTCATATATCGATAACTTTGTTAACATAAGGATATAATTATATTAAAGCAATTAGTTTATTCAATTCTCATGGGAACAATACTTATTCACTTTATTACCTATATAAATATAACTAGTGCACTTGTTACACTTGTATAACTAGTGTGTGTAAGTCACATGAGACAAGAAAAAGAAAGACTCGAACATGCCATTATGGTGAGAAAAAAAAAACTAAGCATGCTAAATGGGTGAAAGAAAGAAAAAATTGACCACATCACGAGGGCAAATAAGAAAAATTGAGCTTGTTGTGATGACAAGAAACGGAAAAAAAAAAACATACATGAGACGAGTACAAGAGAAGAAAAAGAAATGAGCATCTTAAATCCAAATTGATCTCAAGCCTTTTTCAAATCCAAATTGATTCTTCCTAATTTAGACTCCTCCAAAGAGACAACCTTAAACTTTTGGACAAGAATGACATCTTAAGTCATGTAACTTGCACTATTCAATTAGGTCATTTCAAGGTAAAATGGTTTTGAACGTAAGAAAGCAAATTATGGAGGAAGTGTATAGAATCAAGTCTGAATTAGATATTAGTTTATAAGATATAAATATTGCTTGGGAAAACTGAAATTAAGAGTGAAAGGAGGTAAAAAGTAAAAAGTAAATGTGTTTGTTCGTATTAAAAACAATGTTTGAAGAATTTAATATGATGAACATAATTCATGCAGAAGTTAGCTTATCCAACTTCGAAATCTCGAGGTTTATGCTTTTAGCATAGAGAACATATGTTGATTTCCAAGTGATACTTTCAAATTCATAAATGATGACAACAATATAATGTTTGTAAAAAAGATTTATATGTTCATTAATTATATTATATAAATATCAATTATAACACAACAGAATACAACCTTCAAATAAGTATACATGAGAACACGATATTTTGGTATTCACAACCCTTTACAATAACTTTTTACAGAAAAATGAACGTATGATACTACTTAGTTAAAATACTCAGTGAAGAGAAGAAAATAATTGGAGAGACTCGCTGCTTTTATTGGAGGATCTTAAGTTCAATCAGATCACGTTTAGAATAAAACCAAAATATTGTTATAAAATTATTTATAAATTCATAAATAACTCAATTACAAAAACAATTAATCTATAAAATTCTAGACTTAACCTGAACAATTTATTCTAATTCCTATGGAGCTTCATTTTTTTACATTTTAGACAAGAATTTCACCTGCAAATTATTAAGTTCGTTCTACCAAATCCATAACATACTTGAAATCCTACATGTACATCTTCCATGAGAATGGTTCTTTTCCCCCTCATAATCTCCTTTCTCAACATTCAGCGACCTGTCAATTCGACAATTATAAGTTTATGGACAAAAACCAACCATAGTTACAACTTGTTTTCGTCAGCTTGACTAAAGATTAGGTAGCTGCAATGGACATATGATTGCCTAAAGACATTGAATAATGCAATTACATAAGCATGTTCAACTCAGAGAGATCATCCATTGGTATTTCGACCTATGGAATCATGGTCTTGCAAACCATCCTCTTCAAAGTTCAACCATTTGCTGAGATCTTGATGTCCACCAAGCTCATTAGTTACAGCTAGTTCATCCATTGATCCAAATTCAGGCAGTTGTAAGTTTGCTAGGTCAACAGGGTCATTGGCTTCTTTAGCAGGAGATGAACTAGCTTTCCCTGTTAAATTGCCGGCACTCACAACTGTTGATTGGTCAGACCCAGAAGTGGATAGACCTGAAGCCTGAGTGAACAAATTATTGTTCTTTTGCTTGGGCTTTGCTTTTGTTTTGCGTTCACTCTTGAAGCTGCTGTCCAATGATGTGCGACCAGACCCAGAAATCCAGTTGCATCTTAAACCATCTTTGTTTTGTTCCCTTTCTCTCTCACTTCTCTTTCCCCTTACTCCGTGAATAGGGCTTTCCAAACTGGATGTGACCCTAGAAGAAGCACTGCCCACAACATCATCGAGCAATACTTCCCTCCTCTTAGCGCTGGAAACAGCACCTGCTGCAGCAGAGAAATCATATTTTGTCAAATGAATAGGACTTACAAAAATCATCAGGAAAACAGGAAAAGTATTAAAAACCTAAAAGAAACCGCAACAAAAAAGAAATTCATGAAGGTGATTGTTTAAATTGATAGAGATTTAAATCAATATACCACCAATAAGTTTTTTAATATATGGTTGATAATCTTTCCCTTTCTATGAGATTGAGTTAAATCAGACTGTGCATTTCTGTATCTCCTTAATAGAAGGTTGTGTTATGATGGGTATGTACATGTTACCAAATTAATAAAACTTATATATTTCTACTCAAAAGAAAAAAATTAATATACCTGATCCCCTGGCCTCTGCCTGATTGTTAGAAGTTTCATTGCATGTATTACTAGCAGTTCCTGAGCCAACACATTCCACAGATTTTGTATCATTGCTGCATGGAGGGGCAGAATACATGACACCCTGTAGAGCAGGCTCACTGAAGCAACTGCTGCCTGTCTCTTCAAATTTTCTACATCTAGCAAGAGTCCGCTTGACAAAAGCCAGTGCAACTTGTCTTGAAACTTTCTGGGCTTTTGAGGCATTACTCCCACGGCATGCCTATGTAAATTTTTCAAAGAAATTTAAGTTATATCAAAATGGAACCTTATTTAATGCTTCATTTCTATAGAATGCCATAGTGCCAAAACTGACATGATTTCACACCTTATCTCATTTATATGCCCAACCAGACATTATTGCACCAGCACAGATAATATTAGAGAAAGAAATATAACAAAGCAAAATACTTAATTTATAATAGTTGCACCTTCCCAAGCCTATGTGTCATAGATGTGTAAGCATTGTTGATAAGCAAAAAATTATTTTAAAGCAACATAGATACAAGTTGGTCCTCGGGTAAAAACAAATTCTATCTAGATGAATCACAAGCAACCACATGCCAAGAACTTTGAACTTATATCTAGTCATAGTACATCTATCTTGATTACTACTCTTCTGCCCACACAAGTAAAACAGGAACCAACTAATATCTGTTTGATCCAGAGACCTAAAAATCCAAATATAACTTTCTACCAGAAAACCTTCCTGAAGAAAACCAACAAAAAAAAGTAAATGAACTCACATTTTAGGAGCTACAGCATTTTTAACTTTAGGGCTATTACTGTATTACATCAACCACAATCATAATCTATCTTGATTACTTCTCTTCTGCCCACACAAGTAAAACAGGAACCAACTAATATCTGTTTGATCCAGAGACCTAAAAATCCAAATATAACTTTCTACCAGAAAACCTTCCTGAAGAAAACCAACAAAAAAAAGTAAATGAACTCACATTTTAGGAGCTACAGCATTTTTAACTTTAGGGCTATTACTGTATTATATCAACCACAATCATAATCAAACTCATGTTTATAGCACGATGAACATATCCTTGCCCAAAATTTGCACACACTTCTTCAAACAGTTCTGAAGTACATAAGCAAACACGGTTCCCAAACAAAGCACCTTTATTTGATGCTTGTTAAGTCTACTAAATGAACCATTCTCAATGACGTGGTAAAAAATTTTCAAACATACAGAATAGAATATCCATGTCAAACGGTACTCTTCCAGACAGACACGTAGAACAACAGGAAATAACTCATATGCTCGATTCAAATATATCAAAGGAAATTTTGGAAGGCCTCACGCAATGTAGGGGTGACAAGGCTCCAATGCCAGATAATTTCAACATAGGTTTCCTGCAGAAATTTTGGGGTGTGGTTAAAGGCGACATAATTTACCTCTTCAGAGAATTTCATGAGTCATGTTACTTTGTCAAGGGTTTGAATTCTTTGGTTTTGGTGATCATTCCAAAGATTGAAGGGACTATGAATATTAAAGACCTCAGGCCAATTTTACAAACCTATTGCAAAAGTTGGAGCAATAGTAATGGCCAAGGTGCTGGGAGGGTAGTTGGTGAGTGTCAGCATCCTTTTTGCATGGAAGACAGATTGTGGATGCAATTTTAATTGCCAACAAGCTAGTAGATGATCTTGTACAAAAAAAGAAAGAGAGGTTCCTGTGTGAGCTTGACATGGGGAAGCATACAACCATGTGAACTGGGGTATTCTTAGCTACATACTCAACAGAAAGGCAGATTTGAATAAAATGTTAAAAGGGCTAGGAATATTGAGATGTTTAGTGGTTTGAAGGTGGAAGACGGGATCAGAGCAAAAGAGATGATACATCTATTTTTTGTTAATGACACACTGTTATTTCGTGAGCAAGATGCCATAGCTATTATTAACATTAGGTGTGTTCTTTTGAGCTTTCAGATAGTTTTGAGCTTAATATCAACGAAGCTAAGTCTGAATTGGTAAATCTGGGAGATGGAAGTGAAACCAGAATTTTTGCTAGAATTTTGGGAATTAAGTATGCTAAACTTCCCATTAAATACTTGGGGATGTCCCTAGGAGCAAAACACAAGGATGTTTCAACATAGGACCCTATGGTAATGTGGTTCGAGTCCCCCTTATCTGGGTGGAAGAGAAATCTTTTATGGGAGGGAGGACTTACTCTCATCAAAAGCATACGGTCAATATCCTCATTTATTACATGTCTAAGAGTAGCCATGAGTTAATTAACAACCCTTTACCATAAGCTTTTTCTTTTTAAAATAAAAATATGAGTTATATATTAACATGGTACCAAAACAAGGGGATACCACCTATGTACAAAGACTTTACAGAAGTGTTAACGTATCTATGACATTCCCAAAATCTTCATCACTGATATGTCATGCCCTAACAAAATAGGCACAAAAAGATGAATCCACCTATCCCTTATTTTGTACATACTACTCTCAACACTCTAAAAAGCTCTAGAATTCCTTTCTTGCCAAATAGACTAGAAAACAGTCAATGGAATTAGGTTAGCAATATTGCCTTCTATATATAAACCATCCCAAGTCCAAATTTCCATACCAACCAACCCAGCCACCACCCACTAAATTCCTAAAAGCCCATACACCATACACCATAGATTGTACACCATAGGACACCACAACAAAAGATGATTACACATCTCCTCCGTTTGAAGACAGCCATAACACCCATTAACCAAATACTGTCCCCTCCTGTGTTTATCTATAGTTAAGATCTTCTCTAAAGATGCCTCCCAAGCAAAAAAGCTATACGTGGGGACCCTTTACTATAAGCATCATGACCTGGAATTGATTATTTATTTGTAAGTTACCAATAACACAACAATCTCCGGAATACTTCATCAACATCGCTTTTGGAGCTCTTCAATAACCCAATGAAATCCAATCCCACATGAAAACGAATAAAGAGGGTTGTTTGTGTGCAAAGACAGGATGAGCAACAGAAATGGGAAGCCCTTTGAAGGAAGAAAGGTCTGAACAGAAGATGATGGCTGTGAGATTGAAAAGAAGGGAAGTGGGCAGTTGTCGTACAGTAGCTTGGAGGTGTTTGATGAAGAAGAGAATATTGAAATTACTAACTTTATCCTTTGAGAAAAGGAAAATCAGCTAAGACAAACAGATATTGTTTACTAATATGTTAATTTGATATAGTATAAAAAAATAGGGGGTCAATTGTTCCAATTAACATATCAATGGCTAACTTGATATAAATGACAAAAAATAAGGGGGCTTTATGATAATTACCATAAAATTTTATTATCAAATATAAAATCAAATGTAAACACAAGTTTAGATCAGAAAGTACTTTCAAACTTTCCATTGGTAGTGTTTTATGATTACCATAAAATTTTATCATCAAATATAAAATCAAATGTAAACACAAGTTTAGATCAGAAAGTACTTTCAAACTTTCCATTGGTAGTGTTTTATGTCATAAATTTAACAAAATAACTACATAGCTGAACTACATCCTGATAGTTATGAAAAAACCTAAAGAATAATTCTGAGAAAAAGGTTACGAAAGTCACCATCCTTTTCCTATAAGCCATCTCAACAAGTTGATCCATGGCAAGATGCTCCAGATTCCTGCAAACTACCAGGTTAGTATAATCCAGACACAACTCCAGGACTATACTTCTAGGGTATTCAGAGTCAGGTGCTCTACCTTTTCTCCATATCACTCGATTTCCGAATAGCCGTATCAATTCTCTCCAAATTTGTCTTCTTTCTCTGAACCTACCAATTAACCAAACAATGACTGGAGTTCAGAAGCAGAAGACAAAACCCAAGTTGAAAATTGAATGAAAGTTACTCTAGACAGATAAGACAATGGGTGGGTGTGGGGACGAGGGGTAATTTGATGCAAAGAATTTAAGTTTCAGTTCAACCTGTTTGTACAACCCTTCCTTCAGTTCCACAACATCATGATTAATAATTTCTCCTTCTGCCAAATCAGGCTGCATGAAAGCCAAACAAGAATTATAAATGAATAAGTAAAGGACAATAATGACATGATTCGCAGATGTAATAGAAATTCCTAAGTTGGAACTTATAAGGAAAAAGGAGGCTTCTTGGAAGCATCAAATATCTATTGAAACCAAGCACTCATACTAAATGGCTTTCAAAATGGACCAACGGAGGAAATAGTTTGTCCAATTTCAAAATTTAACCATTTCCATAAATTAAAAAATAACGATAATAAAAGTTTAGTAAGAAAACCCACTAACGCCTCCGGATATAGACCAATACTCGCTAGCTCCAGCAGAAGTCTATCATCCAGACACATCAATTGATACTGGGAGTCAGATGAAGAAAGACCATTAATATCGGTTTCCTTAGATTGTAGGTGACCCAGGTTGTTAGAACATATTTCACTACCAAGCCCCACATCCAAATGTGACATATCATCGTCTCCCAGCCAAAGTTCACTGCTATGTACAGAGTTCGACAAGATTGCGTTTCTAAATGAGTTAGATCCAATACTCTTATCACAAGAGAACCCGTCCAGCAAACAATTCTTCTGACTCAGAAAATCTGCATTTGACTCAACTTCAGATTCCATTCTGTCCTTATCTTTGGGCTCAACATCAATTTGGTTACATGACCCACAATGAGAATCATCACTTGCATAGTGAAGAGACATATTTTTTCCTTCACTGGGGTGGAATAATTCTTCAGTTTCATCTTCTTCAATTAAAGCAGACAGAATCCTTTGATACAGTGGAGTGGCTCTTTCAGACCTCCTTGTGTCAAATCTTTCGGATGAAGCACTGGTTTTGGCTGAATCTTGATTAGAATGGCTTATTTGCTCTTCAACAGAACAATCAGCAGACTCTTTCTTCACAACAACTCCCTGAAGAACAAAAGAATTTAAAAACTGATTAAGGTCTCTCTCCCTCTTTTTGATGTTACCAGCTCTTTTATTCTAGGCAGAGGGAGGGGCAAGAAAAAAAACAAAAGGAAAACATTACCAAAGACACTTACCATTATGTTACATCCAATACCAAACATTTGGGACAAACCCTCACCAAGCTCTTGTGTAAAACTTAACTGTTGCAAAATCAAAATAGAATAGACAAAAGAAAACCATAAGTCTGAGCAAAAGTATATACCTGAAATCCTATGTATACACATGCAGGAGTGCTACCTGTTGTTTCAAGTAAGACATGTCCTCCGAGCTGACAGATACAAATATAGATTCCATTTTCTTCCAAAATAGACCAGAACATGCAAGATCTACAAAAACAATCTAGCAAGTTAAGCAACCAACATAAATTATATAAAACAGAGACAGAAAGGGAGGCAGATTGCAGAAGACACATACTTCTAGCTTTACAAGCATAGTTTGCAGCAGCAAATAGTTCTTCGTGATCATCATCAGATTCGCCTAACAAATGATGCGCAAAATACATAGTTAATGACTATTCTCACCAAATATTTACCCTCAAAAAGAATTTGTCAATAATCCAACAATTCAGATGAGATGTATAGGTGTACATGCACATCTGATTGGGATAAAGAAAAACTAACATATTTCCATCCTCACCACTATAGTTTCCAACATTTAAAGCTTCACAATAATTGAAAAGAAACATTCAAGATAACGGCTGGTATCTAAGAGAGTGAATCCATGAACTCAATGTATAAACACACAAAACCAAAGAATCATAATTTGAAACATTACCAGTAAAATCTGAAGAAACAGAATTAACCACTGGCCCAACACGGGTTGTGGCCTTGCAAACTTTCAGCTTTTTGGAAGGTGGACGACCTGGTTTACTGAAGAAAGGGAAAGAATATGGTTAATTTGTCAGAATTTACTGAGGAATGGACATAGTAGATTTCCATCTGAATAATTGTTTAAACTAAACAGTGCAAAGAAATAAATAGTAAATAAAAACCTTTTATTTTTATCAGAAAGAGGTCTCGTGCCTTGCAATGGCTTGAGCAATTGAAGATTCTCTAATTTGTCTCTGATTGGATTAACGGAAGGCCTTGTTGAGGATGAACCATTCCCACTCCTTCCTTGTCTCCGCACAGTATCTCCATTTTCATTTATGAGTATTTTATTCTTCCTTATTGGCAATATTACAGGACCCATTTTATGGCTTGCAGATACCTCACCACCATCCGTACCAATCTCTTTTGATTTATTGTCACCAGCTCCTGACTCCTCACTTTCAGATAACCCAAATGGAGATGAAACATTCTCCACTTCCCTTCTGATTTTTGGAGCATTATTATCTGCACTGGCAAGCTGAGATCCATTGTTTCCATAAGAAGCTCTACCACTGAAATCAGATGTTGCAAAGCCCTGAGGTGAACTATGAGTGTCGACATTGTTTGAGACTGGCGAAACTAAATTAGCCCTCCTTGTTCGTGAGTTTTTGTGCGGTCTCTGACCAACCCACTGAGCCATGGCATGTGAAGAGGAACTTGCTATTTGATGCTTTTGATGATTTGCTACACCCAATGCTGATACTTTATTTATATTTGTTGGCTGTTCCCAACACTGAAAAGCTCCAGATGAGGGCTGACCTTTGGAAGAGGTATCTAACACCATGATGGAGCCAGTTCGCAGTGCCCGAGAAACTTTTCCTTTTAGTATTGTACTAGAACAGTTGGCTGGATTATCGTCCTGAAAATTTGACCTAACATAGAACGCAACCAAAAATTAGTAACCTAGAGTGCAGATTTAAATATGACAAGGGACTACGTACTTATTGTTTCCTTTTGCCAAAACTCTCTGCTCAACAAGAACCGTACGATCCTTTGGAAGAGGGATACCCTCTGACTCATTCCTGAGTACCACACTGGCATCAGAATTAGAAGACTCAAAAGAACCATCTAACTTATTAATGCCAATGACTCCAGGGGAAGATTTTGATCTGCAATCAAAGAAAGAATATGAATCATTTCCGTATTAGTTTTTAATCATGGATATCCAAAACCTAGACTTACCAAAAATGAAAGAGCAGAGAATAAAATCAGAAAACATAATCTTTAAGAATCGACAACTAATCTAAAAGAATACATGAAATATATAGAGAAGAAATAATCTGGCACCAAATCAATAGCTAAAATCAACTAATACTGTGTTTGGATTGAAAGACTAAGGAGAAAGGAGAAGAATATGAGAGATAAGAAGTATCTTTTCCCTTGTTTGGTTAAAAAATGAAAAATGAGAGAAAAAAGCGACTGATGGGGCACTTTACCCTTAAACATCCATTCTTCTCATGCCCGCAAATTGGGGAAAGCATTGTCTATTTTACACTAATTGCCTAAGTTGTTGTTTTGTCCATAAAGGTTATTGAAAATATTCATTATAATGTATCATTTTCTTTTCCTTTACCCACCTAAATCAAACAAAGGAATAGAACAATTCTCTTTTCTTTCTCCTTTCCAGTTTTAGTTATCCTCACAATGAAAACATATTTTTTTCATTTACAAAGTCAACATTTCCCTTCCTTTCCTTTCCCTTTCTTTCCTTCACTAATCGTTATGCAATCCAAGTAGAATGCCGATGTCAATAAGGTCACTACAGACCAAAAGATTAACTCAATTTGAAATTTGCAAAAGGTATGGAAAAAGTTTAAAAGCTATCTTAAGAAGCAGTAAACCTTTGAATGATAAACTTACAACTCCGGTTCACCAAAAATTCTAAAAACACGTGCAAATACACATTGTACATGCTCACTCACATCAAATTTAACAAAAGTTCCAAAGATCTAGCTTTAATAAAAGTTTTCTGGTCTCAAGGAGGTGCGGTCAAGCAAGATCTTTATTTATTCAATAGAATGGGTTAAACTTTCTAATACTCTAAAATTACACATTGATGACTAATATGGACAACATCTCACTTATTGTATGTAAGCTCAGGGACTCTGTTGGTTAAATAACAGTTCCTACACCTTGTTTTCTAGTCAAAGTTTGTCCAATGCACTTGACCTATTTTCACATCATGTTGATATAAGATGATCCTATTCAAATCTACCAGAAAAAATTTAAATAACCAATTTCCCATTTGGTCCATGATAATAGTTCATTTTCACTATTTCCATATTTAATTTATTCTTTTTTAAGCTAAATCACTATAATAATCAAGACAAAATTAGGCCTAGTGGTCCACATGGATTCCAAAGTATTTTCATAAAGAAAAAGATACATATTTAACATAAAAAAGAGTTAAACTGGTTTTAAAAAGAAATGATAGCGTCTTATTATGGATAGAGAGATATAGAAAAACAAATGAAATCGACACTTCCATGACATGCAGAATCATTTCTTTCAGCACGAAGTAGAATCCTCCTTTCAACTGATTTTTTTAATAACAAAATAAAGATTTACTCTACTTCCTCTCCTGCACATTCAGCAGCAACATCTTTTTTATCCAATAAAAGCATCAAATACACACCCAATTTATTACCTCAAACTCTGTGTATCACAAGATCGCAACTTTGAATCTGTACTCAGCTTTGGTTGCATCACACGTTTTATATCACGATCACCATTTATAACCCTATTGCTTACTGCTGCCACAGAACGCTTCCTTTTCATCTTTGTCTCCCATCCTTCACCTCCAGCAGGCAATCTACGGACCTTCTCTTCAATTCGAACAGGACCCCCACTATTCGCCGGAAGCATGTCAACATCCTTCTCCATTACCATCTGCTGCCTGGAAACAGCAGCAGCCACCCTACTGTCTGCCTGAGAAGATTATTGAAAGGTACTTTAATTAGAAAGAAAACAGAACTGCCATTAATCACTAAGCAACTGCACTATTCACTTAAAACAGCATGAAGGTCTAACTGTGGAGAAAATATGAACAAAAACTGTTGAGGTTTAATCTTGCAAAAACTAAAAGAAAGTAATTAAGCACTTGGGTGCATCAAATACAGAATACTTTATTCTAAACTTAAAGGATAATAATTTACTTTATACAGAATGAATTTTAACAAAATTATACTTGAAAATTTCCTAGAATTGAAAAGAAACTATCTTTCCACACAAAAGGTGTCAGTACACATGACAATTCAATACTGAAAGTGAATTTACAAACCCGAATATCAGCTAGTGAAGTGCGAATACGCTTACTCAGCCCAACACCTTTTGTTCTTTCCTCCAATCTTTGAGTGATAACATCGTGTGGATTTCTGCGAAGCTGGCTTCCCATCTTCACCAAGTTCACTCCACACGATCTCTCAGCAGATGACATGTCACTTCTTTGCCGTTTCTTTGAGCTTAAGGCTTCCTTATACTTATCCAATTTGAATATTGATTCACGCAGCTTTTTTACTCGATCCCTGGCAAAAGATATTTAATCTTCAACAACATGACAATATTTGATATACTGGTGAACAAGAAACATGTATGGCAACCTACATACAGTTTGATAAATTCCCATGCCATCACAAAATCATATTAAAAGAGTCCAAATGACAGACGCTATCTGGTCGAAGAAAAGTTGCAAGTAGGAAAGAAGATTACTTCAAATAAATCTAGGGGACATCCTCTCCGTTAACAGAAACTAGTCATCCACACCATGCAATTTATTGTAACTTAAAATATTGCATATTTCTACCTATGTTCTTTCTATTTCAATAGAATTAATCACCAAACTCTTAAAGATCCACTTGCTAAGTCAATTATGGAGTACTTTCTTTACACCAAGCAGAAGTCATGTTTTTGTAAAACACAGACCTTATTTCAAAGTATGGTACAAGCTTGTGTGAATATGAAGTGACCATTTTATTTTGTAAATGGAAAGAATAAACCACCTGGCTTTTTTAGAGGCATCTTGTACACTTTCTTTGAAGTGCTTCAGCTCCTCAGTAGCAACTGGAGGCAGAGGCTTGGGATGGGTAACTCCAAAAGAATGGTCCTCTGATGAACTTCCAAGAGGAACACCCAGAACTCTCCTTAGCTCTCCTGAGCGTGTATATTTCTGATTGCTTAAAGTAATTGACTCCAAAGGCAAACACTGGGGCAACGGTGGCATATCAGATGACAATGTTCCACCACCACGGCTCCCATTATTCCCAGTGCTTAACATTACTCCCTCAATTTCCTCACCTAAATAGTCAAATCCCTTCACCTAAGACAAATACAATTACCAAGTTAAAGCTAATTGTAACCCTTCTCAGCACAATTGAATGACATACCAGAAGCAAAGGTCTTCCTGTAACTCAAAGCAACAAACATTAAAAAACTAAAGAAACTGTTACATCACATGACAGTTTTGTCACTTAAAGTTCCTGGAAATGTATACGTGCAAAGGCAAGCTAACTTTAAACAATGCAAGGTACTTAGCAATTCAGAGGAAGAGACATAAACATCAAAGGGAAAACGTGGTTATCAGTCGAGTAATTTTCTCAACTACAAAGCTGATAAACAAACTTTCAGAAAACAATGATCGTAGCAAGATTTTAGACACCAACGGGAAACCGATTAGGTTTCAGTTAAGCCTAGGGTGGCTAAGTCCACCACGGTACAGAAAACTAATGGAAGCTCAAGAGGAACAAGAAAAAGAGATTAACAGAACTAGAGAAGAACCTCCGAAAGTTCAATCTAAAAAAAATTTCTACCAAGCCTTTAGCCTAAGCCTAACCCAGCTGCTTGCCCAATTTCCACAGCAAAATAATCCCTAAATTCAAAAAAATCAACCGCTTCATATTCTTGAACTCAATTTATCTGCAGCCAAACAAAGAGAAACTAAGGAAACAAAGAAAGTTAAGGAAATACGATGAAAAACTAAGCGAAGTTAAAAAATGAATGAAATCCCACGAAATGAAACTCGAAGACTAATAAAAAGTAAATTGAAACGAAATTAACGTTAATTCAGATAAGAGGAAATGAATCTAGGAGAAAACGAGTGAGATATACCGGAGATTCAAGGAGGACAAGCGCAGATCAAAAGCAAGCAGACACTCTGAGAACGAGAGAGCTGCGAAAAAGCAGCACGTCGGCAATGTGTCTGTATAGAATATACGTATATATAAAATTCGGCTCGGCTAATAAATAAATTTATTTCAGCCGCAATTTATTTATTTTTTTTCATCATCTCAATCTCAATTTTGCATTAACTCAGTTTTTATACTTTTAAAAAAAAAAGAAAAACATTGGAATAAGTCTAGTTCCATTATTAACATTTAATTTCGTTAGATTCATATATTATATGGAGAAAAAGTTTACATATGACATCTTCTGATACATTAATAAATTTGGTTAAATACTTTATTATATCTAATGTGATTAAAAAAAAAATTATACATAAAAATTTGTTCATATTTAAAAAGAAAAACTCAAATAAACATCATCGGGCCCCCAACCCCAATGCACCTTCTCTTTTCACCAAAAAGGCCGCTGCATTAAAATAGAAATTTAGCTCTTACAATATTTATTTTTATTCAATTTGAATCCTACCTCGATTTAACATTAATTTAGTCTTTAGAAAAAGAGTTCGAACAATTTAATTTTATTTGGTGAACAATATTTAATACGTTTAGTTAGTTATTATTATGAGATTTTAATTTTTTTAGTTTTTAAATTTTTTTACCTGAAAATGTAAATCTAAAAAATTAACAGGATGTCAGAAATATTTTAAAATTTTTTGATAAAAAAAAATATATATATATATATATATATAAATTAATAAATAAAGAACAAAAAAATAAAAGAAAAAGAACCTAAAAATGAGGGACTAAGGCGACAAGAAGAAGAATTAAAAAAAAAAAAAGAATAGGAAGAAGAAGAAGAAGAGGAAAGATAAGATCGACAGCCGGCTATTGATAGATCTGGAACTAGGAGACTTGAGGCGCGGCTTGGTCGCGATAGGCGAGGAGGAAGAACCACAATGGATCTGATCCATGTAAAGGCATATCGCAATGGAAGAGTGCAGTGCGAAGAGGACAGATAAAGTAGCTTCACCCTCGTGTGCGTCTGAGTCAGAGAGAGGCGTCGGATCTATGAAGCCCATTCCTGAGCGCCTGGAGGAGACAAATAACAGATTTGTCTATGGTGTAACATGCGGCGGTGAGTGGAATAACGAACGACGAATATGATCGAAGAAGACGAATTTGAATGCATTTTGGCACGATTTCATCAAGACCATACTGGACTTGAGTGTGCGGTGTGTTCTGTGGAGATTGTCAGTCAGTTCGTGGCGGCGAGCAGCGGTCTGGTGGTGGCGTATAGAGTTCCGGTAATGCCGGTAGTTGTATGTGGCAATCCCAGTGATGGCAGGTGATGATCCCGGCAATGGCGCATGCAATGGCGTGTGGTGATTCTGATGACACGCGCGTGACTGTGCGTGTTGACTTCAGTGCTGGCGCGTGGTGACTCCAACGACCGGAGACTGCGTGTCCAAGGTAAATTAATTCTCCCTCCATGTTGTGTTCATAAAAACAAAATAATAATAATAAATAGAATGAAGACAATGAAATAAAATAATAAATAATAATTATATATCCTTCAACACGTGTACTTTTGTTTTAAAAACGAGGAAATTTTTCAAACAATAGTCAAAATTGTAGAAGACCATAGACTCAAATTCAATAAGAATCTATACATCTTCTTATCAAATTTCAAGTAAGAATTGGGTTAGTCTTCATTCGGAGTCATGTTTTTATAAAATAATTTATTATTTTAAATAATTAATTTAAAAATTTGATGGATAATTTTTAATTTTATTATAGAAAGTATTTTACAAAGTTTCATATGTATGTGGATGGGCGTATATGAGCTCCGGTATTGTATAAGATATATCTATAATAATATGGATGCATATATATTGTGCGTGAATGAGTAGGTAGAGATGAGGTTATACATAAGTTATTATTTGTTTAACGTGTAAGATTCCATGTATAAAGGTAAATAGATTCCAGAGTGTGTGTAAATATGTAGTTGTATATATGATTATGTAATATGTAATTATACATATCTAGATATCTATGAAGTTGTGCAAAATGTATATAGACATATATATATATATATATCTTTGTTGGTATGAGTATAAAATGAATATGTATGTGTGGATGTGTAAAATAATATATGTATTTACATAGGTATAGAAGCCGCTTATATGCAGATCTAAAGATAAATGTATATGTATGTATTTTATATGGGTATAAATAGTGTGTTTAAATACATCGGCATTTAGAGAAATTGTATGTATGCAATTACATAGGTGAATGTGTGCTATGTATTTGTGTTTTATATATTTATAAATATTATAAGATTATGATTAATATATTTGCAGTAGTTTATGTGTGTTAAATCATAACTTATATGTAATATATATTGTAAGAAAGTACATATATATATATGCATAATTAGAATACATTTATGGTTAAATATAATAGTACCACGATAAATATATATAAGTAATGTGTGTAGATATAGATTATGATTGCTTGTTACTTGTGTAATATGTTCAGTGTCTGCTTAATACGATGTAAACTTTGTATGTTGGATATATATGTATGTATATGACTGTTTACTAATAAATTTTTTGAGTGTATCTAATATACGAATATGCACACTTGTTATGAGTTTGAACATGTAAGTATTTAAATTGTGCATGCATGTGTATTAAAATAAGGAATATGATTGACAAAAAAGTAACATAGGGACCTTAAAAGATGAGGAAACTCATTTAGCAGATATTAGAGCACACGTTCCTTAAAGTCATCCTTTGTACATGAAATTTAAAAAATTTAGGAAGTTTAGTACTACGAGGAAACTAAAAAAAAAATGCAACTTATGCAATATTTTCGAACTCTCTCCAAAACATATGTGGAGATGAGAAAAGATCAATTATTTTGAAAACTCGAGAAGATAAGACTAGTGTGACACATTTTAAAATCAAAGATGTAGGTTCTCACTCCGAAGCTAACTTGAGATGGTAAGTAATAGTCCTAGTCAAACATATCCAACGACAAGACAAACAATAAGAGCTTTAAACCCCCCAACTAGATAAGTCATGGGAGAACCATTTCTAAGTCTACTAGGGATTAAGAAAGATTAGAAACCCTAAAATAAATATAACTAATATCTAGCAATTAAGGAGGTCAAACCATCTAAGACTTTGATGGGTTCTAAAACTCTTCATGGGATTTCTTTAGAGAGAATGAATACCCTACTTGTTTAGTTTTTATGAAAGTCCCCATAAAGGTTGTACGGATAACCATGTTCTTGGTGAATAAAGATCCGTTCTATTGAATGAGACAAGATACATCTAATTAGAACCCTTTCTCCTAAAAGAGCTTACTTCTTCTAAACTAAATTCTTAAAAAAAAAAAAAAAAAAAAAAAAAAACCTTGGGGCCATGTTTGAAAAATGCCATTAACATGATAACCCCATAATATAAGTTCCCTTGCACTTAAAAGAAACATAAAACTGATAAGATATAAATATATTAGAATAAACTCTTAAAATAAATGCTATCAGATATAAATATATTAGAATAAACTCTTAAAATAAATGCCATCAGAGTGGCGCAATGGAAGTGTGGTATGAACCCATAATCCACCATATGTGATTTATTTTGCTTTGTACTGATAAAGAGAAATTGCTGATGGGATAAACATGAAATTCACATCCTAAGACTATAGTTATGAATGATCACACGAAAATGGTGGAAGCCAAAAAAGTATAATGCCTAATCTCAAAAAAGAAAATAAAAAACAAGTTTTCTCACTACTAACAAGACTATTAAATGACTTTCCACTTGAGGAACTCCTAATGATTATTGATAATAACTACAAACTCTATAACTCACTATATACCTTCAAGAGGACTTTAGGAAAAGTTGATCAAGTACTAAAGTAAAAAGAAAAAAATTAGTATAAGTGAATCAAGCATAATAGCAACCTTGTGATCAACCCTACTACTACTATAGATTGGTCCTAATACAAGAGTATTCGACCTCATTACTCTCTCATCCGGATAGGACCTTAAATTTTTCTAACCATCAATAAAGGTATGCTCATTGTATCTGACTAACGAAGATTGAAAAAAAAAAAAAGACAATTATAGGTCCAATATCCTATAAGATTGACCTTCGATTATGATACTATGAATCAACTTCTCTGAAAGTAAAATTTTTAAATATAGTACGACTATTAGAAAAATTCAGATGACCTGAATTAACCCAACTAAACCTTTATTAGTCGAGCCATTATATGATCTCTCTATTAAAGAATCCTAATAATTTTCAATAAGAAATATACATTCTATAAGCGCTTACTTAAAGGGACAATAAGAAAAATCTAACAAAGAACTGAGGTGCCTTAGAAATCATTCAAACTTTAATAGGGAAGAGGTACAATTTGACTCAACTAAGAGTAATTTGCTCAGGCACCAAACCCATTGAGTAAAAAAGAAGAAGTTTCGATACTAAAACATTTTCAAAGGTAATTTTTAGAGATTTAAAAACAAATAATTTTTACTTAAATATATGAACTTTGAGAAATGTAAACATACCATAGTGTTGGGATTATTTAAGTAATTAAGGAGTCATCATTGTGAGAAATGGAGAATGCGAGGTATATTAAAAGACTCTTTAGAATGATGACCAAACAAGTCATGGTACTTCCAAATAATGTTAAATGGTAATGGAAATCACTCGAGTGTTTACTAGGAGATATCAAGCACTAATGAATTGAAAAGACCAACATAAACTAAGATGATATTCCCTTAAATAGATAAAAAAATATTATAACTATATCATTCCATTGAATAAGCCACTGGGAAGTCAATATGGATAATAATTTTCAAACCTCTGGTAAGTACAAATTTGGATGACCAGTTTTTTTAAGAAAAAAAGTATGTAACATCCCGAAAATGGACGAGACATCTGAGATAAAAAATAAAAATTTTGGTAACATATATATATATATTAATAAAAAAACAAAAACAAAATAAAAAAGAACCCTAAAAAGGAGGGAGCAAGGCGGTATAAAAAAATGAAGGAAGAAAAAGAATAAGAAGAATAAGAGGGATA